CTTTTATTGTTCTGATGTTGTTGCCATTTGCAGATTAACCTCTCTGGTTCCCCGTTGTAATTCTTTTGTTTTGGATAGTCCTTAAGAGTTCATTTCCTAGGTTGGTATCTGGATGGTGCAATCTCGCATCCTAGATTCAGCCTGTGGTCTGATGTTGTTTGTTCTCAGATCAAAGGACTCTCTTTAATAATTCTTGTAAGTTTGGTTTGGTTTTTACGTAGTCCCTTAATTTCTGTTTATTGGGAAATGTCCTAATTTCACCATCATATTTGAATGAGAGTTTTGCAGGATATATTATTCTTGACTGGCAATTTTTTTCTTTCAAGGTTTTATATATGTCATCCATTGCCTTCTTGCCTGCATGGTTTCTGCCAAATAATCTGAGCTTAGTCTTATTGCTTCTCCTCTGTATGGGACCTTTAATTTTTCTCGAGCTGCTCTCAGGATTCTTTGTCTTTGGTTTTAGTGAGTGTGATTATGATATGCCTTGGTGATTGCCTTTTGGGGTCTATCGTATATGGGGTTCGTTGAGCTTCTTGGATGGTCAGCTTTTTCATCTTTCTTGATATTGGGGAAGTTTTCTGTCATCAGTTCTTCAATGATCCTCTCTTTGTTTTCCGTTTTATCCCCCTGTTCTGGAACTCTGATCACTTGCAGATTTTTGCTTTTGATTGTATCCCACATAATTCTCAGGGTTTCTTCATTTTTCTTCATTCCTTTTTTCTAATTTTTACTCAAAGTTGTATCCAAGTGTTTGTCTTCAGTGTTGCTGATTCTGTCTTCCATTGTTTCAAACCTGCTCCTCAGCACTTCTACAACACTGTTCATTTCTGAAATCTTGTTGTTTATCTTATAAATTTCTAATTGTTGTTTCTGTATGATTTCTAGTTGTGAATTTATTCTAGCGTTTTGTTCCTGTATTATTTTCCTGAATTCTTCTATTTTTTTGGTCTGTATTTTCCATCAATTTGCCTGCCTTTTTCATGAATTTGTCTATTTTTTTTCTCATTTTTGTCTGCTTTTTGCTTCAACTCAGATAGCTCTGAATATTAGATATTTTAATTCCCTATCAGGTAGTTCCAGTGCCATTTCTTCTACTGGAAAGTCTTCTGGTGTTTTGACACCTACTGGAACCATCATGTCCTGATTTTTTTTAATGTTTTGATATTCTCTGCTGTCTTCAGGACATTCAGTGGCTACGTTCTTCATTTATTGATTGTAGATTTGTTTTGTCCTGCTTTTTTGTTTTAATTGGTTATGTCCGAGTAGGTGGGCTGTGTATTCTTTGTTGTTTGCTCATCTGTGGGCACGATACTTTTCACCTCTTCATCCAATGGGCAGGGCCAGTCACTCAGCTATGGTGCAGCAGGGCAGGTCCAGCTGAAGGGGAGGGGCTGGGATGGGTTGTTTGTGGCTCATAGTGGGGTTGACAAGGTGGGCCAGGAATCAGTGCAGAGCAGGTTCCGGTAGGCTGTGTCTGTGCTGCTTGGGAATGTGACGTTCTGCTCACAGTGCAGGTAGGCAGGAAGGAGTGGGGAGATTGTGATGTGTGGAGCTAAGATGAGTATGGGAAAGAGGAGAGCAAAACAGGAGCCAAAAAAAAAAAAAAAACTGAACAAACCAAAAAAAAGTGCTGAGAGGGCTTGCTATTGTAGTGATGAGATGAGAAGCCAAGAAATGGGATAAAAACAAAAAGGAAAAAAGACAAAAAAGAAAGAAAGAAAGAAAAATTTTTAAAAAATGCCCCTAGGGTTCCCAATGGGGACTGGAGAAGTGGCTCCCAGGCCTCAGGGCACAGCCTGTCTAGTAGGAGCAAAGATGGCACATGGTGCCACTTATTCAGGAGACAGGAAGAGAAGGAAAGCAAAAGAGATGAGAAATTGAGAAACGAAGAAAAACAAAAAAGGAAAAGAGAAAAGAAAAAAAATCATAAAAAAAGAAAGGCCCCCAGGGATCCCACTGGAGTGCCTGGGCAGATGGGTGTGGTAGCTCCCAAACAGCATAGTACATCTGGCTAGAAGGGGCAGAGATGGCACACAGTGCCAGGTATTTGGGAGACAGGAAAAGAAGGTAAGGAGAGATGAGAAACTGAGAAATGAAGAAAGACAAAAATGAAAAAAGAAAAAGAATATAATAATAATAAATAAAAAGAAAAAAGAGAGAAAAAAAGGAAGAAAACCCCCCAGGTATCCCACTGGTGTGGCTGTGCAAACTGGAGAAGTGGCTCCTAAGCCTCAAAATGTAGCCTGGGTTGAAGGGCCAGAGATGGCACACAGTACTAGGTATTCAAAAGAAAGGAAACAAAGGTAAGTACAAAGAGATGAGGAACTGAGAAATGAAGAAAGAAAAAAAGGAAAAAAGAAAAAAAAAAGAAATGACCCCGGGGATCCTACTGGCACAGCTGCACAGTACAGCCCAGCTAGAAGGGGTTCCCAAGCCCTGAAAAGAAAAAGAAAACAAACAAACAAACAAAACAAACAAACAAACAAAAAATACAAAAACCAAAAAGTTCCTGCAGATTCCACTAGCGTGGCAGCAAAGACTTGGGAAGCAGTTCCGCAGCTGAACAGTGCTTCACAGCCTGTCAAGAAGAAGAAAAGACGGCACATGGAGTGAGGTGTTCAAGAGAAAGGAGGGGGAGGAGGTGAGAGGCAGAGAAGAAACCAAAAAAAGTGGAAAAAACAACAACAGCAGCAAAGAAATGGCACTGAGGGAGCCAGCCAGTGTGGGAGGGGCAAATTCTTGTGGCATGGAGCCAGTGCCTCCCGGCTGAGAGACTGCATTTGCCTGGGAAGTGGCAGAGGCTGAGCAGCAGGAAGAAGGCTGGGAGGTCGGAAAGTGTATATCACTGGTTACTGGGTGCTCTATCTCCTGCTGGGAGCTCTGTGAAGCTGCTTTCCCATACTCCCTGTCCACCAATTTCCAACGGGAGTCCAAGATGGCAAATTTGTACTGCATTAGCTGATAGGGGACCTCTGCTTGTATCTCTGCTTGCTCTCGGTTCTCTGTCAGTTTCTTATTCCATTCAGCATTTGGCTGGGTACTTTATCTGTTCACTTGACACTTAGGGCTCCAGGATTGATGTTTGTCTCTGTTTTACTTAGTTTTTCAGGTCTTTGCTGTGGAGGGACAGCGTGGTGCTACTGTTTATAGAGCCATGTTCCATATACCTCCATTCATATTTTGAAAAACAAAGTTAAATATAATCTATGTACAGGGCCGTCTTCATAAACATGCAACCTGTGCAGTTGTGTGATATCCGTGCTGAGATGCATCCATACTTGGTTTAATGCTCTGTGTTGCAATCTTCAATTTTTTTTTTTTTTTTGAAAAAAGAACTTGTATTTTCTTTTGGAACTGACCCCATAAATTATGTGATTAGTTTGCCTATCTAATGAACACTATTTTATTTAAATAGGAAAGTATTTTTTCCAGGAAACATGGGAAAGATTGGTTGTGATCAGTAATCCAATTTTATATAGTAATAAAATGGAGAATCATGAAAGAATAAATAGGAGAAAAAGTGATGTTACTTTAAAGAAATGGGTTCATCAAAAAAGAAAAGAAGGAAAAGAAAAAGAACAAAAATTCAAGTTAAATTTAGAATGCTGATCACTAAAGTTTTAAAAACAGTGAGAACTTGATATATATCCCTAAATTTGTTAATTTCCTGGCTTATTCAGGGCTGGGGACTCTGGTGGAGACCTATGTGGATGCCATCAACAGTGGAGCAGTGCCTTGTTTGGAGAATGCGGTAACAACTCTGGCCCAAAGGGAGAACTCGGCAGCTGTGCAGAAGGCAACCGACCACTACAGCAAGCAGATGGCTCAGTGTCTAAGGCTCCCCACAGACACTCTCCAGGAGCTGCTGGAAGTGCATGCAGTCTGTGAGAGGGAAGCTATTACAATCTTCATGGAGCACTCCTTCAAGGATGAAAATCAGGAGTTCCAGAAACAGCTCATGGTACTTGTCTTAGCACTTATCCCTGCAGATTCCTGTCCACCTTTTTGACCCCATGCTTCGTGGAGACTAGACTGCAATGAGTGACAGGGCTCTACAAGGCTACCATTCACTTTTTTTTCTAAAAGATGTGCACTTCATTTTTTATTTCAGTACAACAAATTACTATGAACTTAGCATTCACACACTTACTAGCTTAGTTTTTTTTTTTTTTATTTCAGAAGTTCAGCACAGAATATATGGGTCTTCTGTTCAGGGTATCAAAGTGAAAATCAAGGTGTCATCTGGGCTTAGTTCTTATCTAGAGGCTCTGGGTAACCCCATTCTACCTTCATGCCAACAATGATTCATCAAATGCTTCCCGTCTCTAATTTCTCTGACTTCCTCTTCTGCCAAAAACTGGAAAACTCTGATTTTAAACATCAAAAACCCATTGCTATCAAGTCAATTCTAACTCATAGCAACCCTATACGACAGAGTAGAACTGCCTCATAGAGTTTCTGAGGAGCAGCTGGTGGATTTGAGCTGCAAACCTTTTGGTTAGCAGCCAACCTCTTAACCGTTGTGCTACCAAGGCTCTTTACTTTTAAAGGGCTCATGTAATTAGGTGATGCCCATGCACAAACTCCATTTCTTAAAGTCAACTTGTGCCATACAGCGTAACCTAATCATGGGAGTAAAATCCATTATATTCAAATTTTCAAAGACTGCGAAAGATATGGACACCAGATATCTTGGTGGACATCTTATTTCTGCTTACCTATAGTCACCTTCACTGAAAGTTTGTCATTCATTCTGTCTCTGGCCTACAAGTGACAAAAATTTCTTAATTTGTGTTGAGTAAAACCATTTGGATTGTAATTTATAAGTACAAGGAAAAAAATTCTGTTCCTATATATTCACAAACTCAAATCCTAATTGAGAGAATTCTTGAAGGGTTCCAAAGTCTGCTCAGAGTGCATTTAAGTCATTACCGTGTGGGTTGCTTTTTCATGTTTACATTTTCATCCATAGCAACCCAAGTTCTCTGAGGAAACTCTCCTTCCAGCCAAATACACTTTTCTATTACTCATTGTGATTGTTGGATCACTGTTAGTCACACTATACAGCTAAAGAAACCATAGAGTTCATATCATCCACCCACACCATTTTATATATGCTGAACTTGACCTGTGTCTAACACAGATCTCCTGGCTCCACTCTGAGGCTGTCAGCCTCCTTCTTCCAAGAGGACCACAGTAGGATCATCCCTTCTAACAACTTCTTTCTATTGTGTTTCTCTACATTTCCTGCAGTGCACCATAGAGAAAAAGAAGGAAGACTTTGTGCTGCAGAATGAAGAAGCATCTGAGAAATACTGTCAGGCTGAGCTTAAGCAGATTTCAGAGCCCCTAATGGAAACTATTTCGAGAGGAACTTTCTCTGTTCCTGGAGGACACAGTCTCTACTTAGAAGCAAAGAAAAAAGTTGAACAGGACTATGAGCGACTGCCCAGGAAAGGAGTTAAGGTGAGGAATAAGGGAAGGGGAGGGAAGGTCAGCAGAGTAGAGGCAGGGCGCCTTGTCCTACTGAAAATCTAAGACCACAATACCAGTAGTAGGGAGAAAGCAAAGCATGGTGATTTCTAGACATTTTTAGTTTCATATCCACAATTAGTTAGAAACTCTTGAAAAAACCACAAATATTTATTTCCAAAGTAAGGAATTAGAATCAGGAATCCAGATGACATAAAACTTTTCTTTCATTTTTCAAACAATGTGATCATTTTGTGCTAAGTGCCAAAAACCAACCCAGCAGCCATCATGTCAACTCCAACTCATGGTGACCCCATGTGTGTCAGAGGAGAACTGCTCCATACAGTTTTCAATGACTGTAGATTTTTCAGAAGTAGATCACCAAGCCTTTCTTCTGAGGCACCTCTGGGTGGATTCGAATCATCAACCATTTGGTTAGTAGTTGAGTGCTTAACTGTTTGCACCACTCAGGATCTCCATGGAAACCCTGGTGGCATAGTGATTAAGAGTTCGGCTGCTAACCAAAAGGTTGGCAGTTTGAATCCACCAGACGCTCCTCAGAAACCCTATAGGGCAGTTCTAATCTGTCCTACAGGGTTGCTATGAGTTGGAATTAACTCGACAGCAATGGGTAGGGACTCCATGCTAAGTACAGGAGATACAATATTAAAGTAATAATCTTTCTTCTGAAGAAGTTCATGATCAGGAGGTGGGGCCAAGATGGCAGAGTAGTCAGACGCTTCCAGTGCACCCTCTTACAACAAAGACCTGAAAAAACAAGTGAATCAATTATATATGACAATCTAGGAGCCCTAAACATCTAAGGCAAAGTTGAGGAACCAGAGTGAGTGGCAGAGGGAGGGAGAGATGGTTCGGAAGCTGTGAAGAGTTGTCAGACTTGACACGGCGAGAGCCTGAACCCTTCAGGCCTGATCAGCTCATGGGTGAGTGGTGAGGCAGGCAAGTAGTGGTGCCTGGGAGGCACATTTTCCACACCGGAAGAGACCCAGTGTAAGAGAGTCTACTTGGCCACCCCAGAACCAGCGAGAAGCAGTCCTCAATCGGCGAAAGATAAGTACTTTCGTACGGCCTACAGCACGGATCAAAAACACCCCCCTTAGGGAAAAACCTCTCTCCCATTTACCTCCCCGCTCCCTGCTCTGCACGGGGTTCCTGCACCAGCTTCAGCAATTTCTGAGTCCCCTGAGCTGGAAGTAGGATCCGTCACATGCCCTGAGCCATTCTCCCTGCCTTGGAGAGTGAACAAATTAACAAAAAAGGGAAAAAAATAAACTACCAGCTTCCCTAAGCCAGAAACACAGGGTAGGCACAGCTCCTTTGCCTAGGCACAGGCATAAGGGATCCATGGACTTTGAGTGCCTTTCCCCCTGCAGAGACTTATGTGGGTCCATTTCAACAGCATAGGCCTTCATTACCACAGTACAACACAGTGTATACCTGAAGTCTAACTTGAACTGTTTCAGCTGTGAAGTGGCAGGTTCATGACATTTGACACTGCTTTGCCCATTAAACAGGGTCTTCCTCTACCCACATCAGGGGCCTGAGGACTGGTGACTCCACCCATGCCACCTAGCCACCTGAGATAGGGGTCCAAGCATAAGAGGTGCTCCCGGCCCTTACAACCAACAGCATTGGGTGCTCATAGTCTGGCTGCAAAACCCACCCACCTAAGTGCTCTAGGGAACAGGAACTTGCCTTGCTCCTGGACACTCGGGGGTGACCATCAGCCCATGCCTTGCTCAGAATGTGTCTCCCTGCTGCAGCCAGATGCCTGTGCCTACACCAGTCACCTACGCCTGTCTAAGACTGTAGGTGAGAGCCTACACCACACCACACATCTGGTAGCTATCTACCTGGGCACCTGAGCTGAATACATATAGGAGGAGTGGGCAGACTACTGAGCTCACATACCTACTAACAGATTTAACCACCTGGTGACAGGATATTAGAGCTTCAAAGTTGCCAATAATCATACTAGCTCATACAAGCAGCCTATTTGGGCATATCCAAACAAAACAAAACAAGAAGCTAGAACACAGTAAGCAAACATAGAGTAAATATAATAACTTATTGATGGCTCAGAGACAACAGTCAATATCAAATCACATAAAGAGGCAATCCATGATGGCTTCACCAAGCTCCCAAAATAAAGAATCTAGAAATTTTCCAGAGGAGGAAAATTTCTTGGAATTACCAGAGGCAGAATACAAAAGATTAATATACAGAACTCTTCAAGAAATTAGGAAGGAAATTAAGCAAAATGCAGAACATGCAATAGTGGAAATTAAAAAGATTACAGAAGAGCATAATGACAAATTTAACAGTCTGCAAGAATCCATAGAGAGACAGTAATCAGAAATCCAGAAGATCAACAATAAAATTTCAGAATTAGACAACTCAATAGAAAGTCATAGGAGCAGAATTGAGGCAATGAAAGTCAGAATTAGTGAGATTGATAAAGAAGTTGACACCAACTTATCTGAGGAAAAATCAGATAAAAGGATTTAAAAAAATGAAGAAACCCTAAGAATTATGTGGGACTTTATCAAAAGGAATAACCTATGAGTGATTGGGGTACCAGAATGGGGAGGATAACAGAAAATACAGAGAGAATTGTTGAAGATTTGTTGCCAGAAAACATCCCTGATATTGTGAAAGATTACAAGATATCTATCCAGGGTGCTCATCAAACCCCACATAAGGTAGATCCCAAAAGATAGTTACCAAGACAGATTATAATCAAACTTGCCAAAACCAAAGATAAAAAGAGAATTTTAAGAGCAGCTAGGGATAAACAAAAAGTCCTCTACAAACGAGAGTCAATAAGAATAAGCTCGGACTACTCAGCAGAAACCATGCAGGCAAGAAGGCAATGGGATGACATATATAAAGCATTGAAGGAAAAAAAGAGCCAGCTAAGAATTATATATCCAGCAAAACTGTCTCTCAAATATGATGGCGAAATTAAGGCATTTCTAGATAAACAGAAGTTTAGGGAATTTGCAAAACCTAAACCAAAATTACAAGAAATACTAAAGGCAGTCCTCTAGTTAGAAAATCAGTAATATCAGATAACAACCCAAGACTAGAACACAGGACAAAGCAACCAGATATCAACCTAGAGGGAAAGTCACAAAAATAAATCAAAGCTAAAACACTGAAAATAGGGAAACACATGTCAACATGTAGAAGATGACATTAAAACAAAAATAAGGACTTAAAATATGTAGACATAGATTTTGCATATGGGGAGGAAGTCAAGGCAATATAATGAAATAAAAGACTGGTAAAAACTTAGAAAAATAGGGGTAAATATTAAGGAAACCACAAAGGAAACTAACAATCCTACAAATCAAAATAAAAAACTAGAAAAATATAAAGACTCAGCAAACACGAAATCAACAACAATGAAAAAGATGAAAAGAAAATACATAAAGAAAAACGACTCAGCACAGAAAATTAAGCAGAACAAAGAAACTGTGAATAACACACAAAAAAAGACATCAAAATGACAGCACTAAACTCATACCTATCAATAATTACATTGAATGTAAATGGACTAAATGCACCAATAAAGAGACAGAGAGTGGCAGATTGGATGAAAAAACACGATCCGTCTACATGCTGCCTACAAGAGACATACCTTAGACTTAAAGATACAAACAAACTAACTCAAAGGATGGAAAAAAATATATCAAGCAAACAACACTCAAAAAAGAGCAGGAGTGGCAATATTAATCTCTGATAAAATAGACTTTAAAGTAAAATCCACCACAAAGGATAAGGAAGGGCACTATACAATGATTAAAGGGTCAATACATCAGGAGGACATAATGATAATAAATATTTACGCAACCAATGACAGGGCTCCAAAATATATAAAACAAACTCTAACAGCACTGAAAACAGAGATAGACAGCTCCACAATAGTAGTAGGGGACTTCAACACACCACTTTCGGTGAAGGACAGAACACCCAGAAAGAAGCTCAGCAAAGACCAGGAAGACGTAAATACTACAATCAACCAACTTGATCTCATAGACATATACCGAACACGCCACCCAACAGCAGCCAAGTATACTTTCTTTTCCAACACACATGGTACATTCTCCAGAATAGACCACATATTAGGCCATAAAGCAAGCCTTAACAAAATCCAAAGCATCGAAATATTACAAAGCATCTTTTCTAACCATAAAGCCGTAAAAGTGGAAATCAACAACACAAGAAGCAAGGAAAAAAATCAAACACATGGAAACTGAACAACACCTTGCTCAAAAACTACTGGATTATAGAAGAAATTATGGATGGAATAAATAAATTCATAGAATCAAACGAGAATGAAAACACATCCTACCAGAACCTTTTGGACACCACAAAAGCAGTGCTCAGAGGTCAGTTTATAGCAATAAATACAAACATCCAAAAAGAAGAAAGGGCCATAATCAAAACATTAACCCTATAACTGGAACCAGTAGAAACAGAGAAGCAAAAGAAGCTCTCAGTTGCCAGAAGAAAGGAAATAATAAGAATTAGAGCAGAATTAAATGAAATAAAGAATAGAAAAAACAATCAAAAGAGTTAACAAGACCCAAAGCTGGTTCTTTGAGAAGATAACAAAATTTATAAACCATTGGCAAAACTGACAAAAGAAATACAGGAGAGGAAACAGATAATCCGTATAAGAAATGAGATGGATGATATCACAAGAGACCCAACAGAAATTAAAAGAATCATAACAGAATACTATGAAAAACTGTGCCTTAACAAATTTGAAAACCTAGAAGAAATGGGCAAGTTTCTAGAAACTCACTACCTCTCTACACTAACACAAACAGAGGTAGAACAACTAAATAAACCGATAACAAAAGAAGAGATTGAAAAGGGTAATTTAAAAACTCCCAACAAAAAAAAAAAGCCCAGGCCCTGATGGCTTCACTGGAGAATTCTACCAAACTTTCAGAGAAGAGTTAACAGCACTACTACTAAAGGTATTTCAGAGCTTGGAAAACTATGGAATACTCCCAAACTCATTCTATGAAGTCAGCATAACACTGATACCAAAACCAGGTAAAGATACCACAAAAAAAGAAAATTACAGACCAATATCCCTCATGAACATTGACAAAAAATCCTCAACAAAATTCTAGACAGTAGAATTCAGCAACATAGCAAAAAAAAATAATTCACCATAATCAAGTGGTATTTATGCCAGGTATGCAGGGATTGTTCAACGTTAGAAAAACAATCAATATAATCCATCACATAAATAAAACAAAAGACAAGAACCACATGATCTTATCAATCAAAGCAGAAAAGGCATTTGACAAAGTCCAACACCCATTCGTGATAAAAACTCTCAATAAAATAGGAATAGAAGGGAAATTCCTCAATATAATTAAGGACATTTATACAAAGCCAAAGGCCAACATCATCCTAAATGGAGAGACTTTGAAAGCATTCCACTTGAGAACAGGAACCAGACAAGGATGCCCTCTATCACCACTCTTATTCAACATTGTGCTGGAGTTCCTAGCCAGAGCAATTAGGCTAGAAAAAGAAATAAAGGGCATCCAAATTATAGGGAAGAAATCAAAGTATCTCTATATGCAGATGGTATGATCTTATACACAGAAAATGCCAAAGAATCCACAAGAAAACTACTGTAACTAATAGAAGATTTCAGCAAAGTTTCAGGATACAAGATAAACATTCAAAAATCGGTCAGATTCCTTTACACCAACAAAGAGAACCTTTGAAGAGGAAATCACCAAATCAATACCATTTATGAGAGGCCCCAAGAAGATAAAATACTTAGGAATAAATCTAACCAGAGGCGTAAAAGACCTATACAATGAAAACTACAAGACACTACTGCAAGAAACTCAAAGAGACCTGCATAAGTGGAAAAATATACCTTGCTCATGGATAGGAAGACTCAATATTGTGAAAATGTCATTTCTACCCAAAGCGATCTACAGATACAGTGCAATCCCAATCCAAATTCAACATCATTTTTTAATGAGATGGAGAAACAAATCACCAACTTCATATGGAAAGGGAAGAGGCCCCAAGTAAGTAGAGCATTACCCAAGAAGAACAAAGAGGGAGGCCTCACACTACCTGATTTTAGAACCTATTATACTGCCACAGTAGTCAAAACGGCCTGGTACTGGTACAACAAGAGATACATAGACCAATGGAACAGAATTGAGAATCCAGACATAAATTCATGCACCTATGAGCAGCCGATATTTGACAAAGGCCCAAAGCCCGTTAACTGGGGAAAAGATATCTCTTTAACAAATGGTGCTTCCGTAACTGGACATCCATCTGCAAAAAACTGAAACGAGACCCATCCCTCACACCATGCACAAAAACTAACTCAAAATGGATCAAAGACTTAAATATAAAATCAAAAAAGATAAAGATCATGGAAGGAAAAATAGGGACAATGCTAGGAGCCCTAATACATTGGAAAAACACAGTATGAACCATAAGTAACAACGCACAAACACTAGAAGGGAGACTAGATAAGTGGGAGCTCCTAAAAATCAAACACTTATGCTCATCAAAAGACTTCACCAAAAGAGTAAAAAGACAACCTACAGACTGGGAAAAAATTTTTGGCTGCAACAAATGGGATCAGCATCTGTTCTCTAAAATCTGTAAGATACTGCAAAACCTCAACAACAAAAAGACAAATAACCCAATTAAAAAATGGGCAAAGGATATGAACAGGCACTTCGCCAATGAAGATATTCAGGAGACACATGAAGAAATGTTCACAATCATTAGCCATTAAAGAAATGCAGATCAAAACTCCAATGAGATATCATCTCACCCCAACAAAGCTAGCATTGATCCAAAAAACACAAAATAATAAATGCTGGAGAGGTTGTGGAGAGACTGGAACACCTATACACTGTTGGTGGGAATGTAAAGTGGTACAACCACTTTGGAAATCGATTTGGCTTCCCTTAAAAAGCTAGAAATGGAAGTACCATAAGATCCAGCTATCCCGCTCCTTGGAATACATCCTAGAGAAATAAGAGGCATCACATGAATAGATATTTGCACACCCATGTTCATTGCAGCACTGTTCACAATAGGAAAAAGATGGAAACAACCTAGGTGCCCATCAACAGACGAATGGATAAACAAATTGTGGTATATCCACACAAGGGAATACTACGCAATGATAAAGAAAGAAGATGAAGCCGTGAAACATCTTATAACATGGAGGAATCTGGAGGTCATTATGCTGAGTGAATTTAGTCAGTCACAGAAGGACAAATACTGTATAAGACCACTATTATAAGAACTCAAGAAAAGGTTTAAACACAGAAGACAACATTTTTTGATAGATACGAGGGTGGGGAGGGATGGTGAGGGTTATTCACTAACTAGATAGTAGATAAGTATTATCTTAGGTGAAGGGAAAGACAGCACACACTACATGGGAAATCAGCACAACTGGACAAAGCTAAGAAGTTTCCTGAATACAATCAAACACTTTGAGGGACAGAGTTGCAGGGGTAGGGATCTGGGGACCATGCTTTCAGGGGATATCTAGGTCAACTGGCATAACAAATCATATTAAGAAAATGTTCTGCATCCTACTTCGGTGAGTGGCATTTGGGGTCTTAAAAGCTTGCAAGAGGCCATCTAAGACGCATCAATTGGTCCCAACCACCTGGAGTAAAGGAGAATGAAGAACACCAAGGACACAAGGAAAATATTAGCCCAAGAGACAGAAAGGGCCACATAAAGCAGAGACTTCATCAGCGTGAGACCAGAAGAACTAGAGGGTGCCCAGCTACGACCAATGACTGCCCTGACAGGGAACACAACAGAGAGTCCCTGTTAGAGCAGCAGAAAGATGAAGTGCAGAACTCAAATTCTAGTAAAAAGAGGTCTGACTGAGACTGGAGGAACCCCAGAAGGCATGGCCCCCAGATTCTTTATCAGCCCAGAACTAAAACAATTTCCGAGGCCAACTCTTCAGACAGGGATTGGACTGGACTGTGGGACATGAAGTGACACTCATGAGTAGTGTGCCTCTTAGCTCAAGTAGATACAAGAGACTAAACGGGCAGCTTCTGTCTGGAGGTGAGATGGGAAGGCAGAGAGGGTTAGGAGCTGGATGAATGGACATGAAGAATCAGGTGGAAAGGAGGAGTGTGTTGTCACAGTACGGGGAGAGCAATTAGGGTCCAATAACAATGTATGTATAAATTTTGTATGGGAGACTAACTTGAAATGTAAACTTCATTTAAACTACAACAATAAAATTTTAAAAAATAAGTTCATGATCATTTTGAGATAGAGAAATAGTCAATAGGATATGGTGTGATAAGGGTCTTCATGATGTTATGCACAGATAGTAACAAGAATGATGATGATGATAATTATAGTGCCTAGCACATATTGAGCCTTCATTTCTTACACCAGGCATGGTCTTATGTGCTTTTGTTGAATTATAACTTAATATTCGGCATAATATTATTCTGATTTTATATAGATATAGATACACACATATATACATATATAAATATATATACCATAATATAATATACACTGTATAAAGACCTGGTGATCCGCTGCCATAAAGAATACAGCCTAGAAAACCTTATGGTGGGGAAGATCTACTCTGTGACATGGGGTCGCTATGAGTCAGAATTGACCCAATGACACCTAACAACAGCTACAACGTTATGATAGTATTACTACTATTATCCACATTATACGGTTGAGAAATCTGATACACAAATAAGTTTATAACTTGCTCAAGGTCACACAGAAAGCAAGTGGTAGAGCTAGTAGGCCAGCTCAGAGTACTTGGCATCTATTGCAAACTGGGAATGCATCCTAGGAAAGCTCCCGGCAAGACGAGATAGGCGATACAAGTTGAAGTATTGACAGATGTTATCCTAGCTAAGGAAAGATAGAACAGCATCCAGGCAGAAGAAAAAGAATATGCAAATATGTGAAAACAACGTATGTTGTGTGTTTGTAGAACTGTACACAAGTCTGGATGGCTGTTACCTGGGTGGATGGTTAGTAGCATCACTGGGAGAGGAGGCTGGAGATCTAGGATGGAGGCTGTGATGGAGGGTTTTCATGTCGCCTGAATGGGCTTGGAATTTATACTGTGTGGTCACAGAAAGAAAGGAAGCTCTGGAGTATCCTAAGCAGGTTTTTAACTATTCAGGGTTTGATCTGGGTTTTATGGAACAATAATTTTTCAGTAAGAGACTAGATCTCTGCTGCCTGCCATGCCTTTGATCCTTCTTGTTTCCTCAGGCAAACGAGGTCCTCAAGAGCTTCCTGCAATCACAGGTGGCAGTAGAGGAATCCATCCTGCAGTCAGACAGAGCCCTGACAGATGGAGAGAAGGCCATAGCAGGTACAGGGGCAGGGCTCAGCCCACAGCGGGGTGGGTAGGCTTCTGCAATGTCCTCTGAGGAACCTGAGAGGAAGATATTCTGAAATAACGAGCTTCCTCTTTTCTATGGAACACACACTCTGCTAAGTCTGAAAATAACAAGAGGGAGTTGTGGTTATATGTCCAGTCAGATGAGTAGGGCCTATCCCATCCCATTCTGAAAAGTATCTTTGATGGTATAGGTACGGGGATAATTCAGAGAGTTCTACTCTCACATTTTCAAAGTCAGTTTGATCTCTGAGCACAAAAGGGTAGAGATCAGGCCTGACCTGTTGTTTTCTTTCCCCTTTACAACCTTTATGCTACAGCGGAGCGGGCCAAAACGGAGGCAGCTGAGAAGGAAAAGGAGCTGCTTAAACAGAAACAGGAGGAGCAACAGCAAAAGATGGAGGCTCAAGAGAGGAGCTTCAAGAAAAACATGGAGCAATTGAAAGAGAAGATGGAGAGAGAAAGAGAAAACCTTCTGCAAGAGCAGACAATGATGCTGGAGCATAAATTGAAGGTAGTTTGTCCTGGGCCTGGACAATGTCTGAGGGACAATGGCATGGTGCCTAAAGAAGGGAAGGGTCAAAATTTGAAGCAAAAACATGGTCTCAGAGGGAAACACATAAGGCATTTGGTTTACTAAAATCTGAAATCCATCTGCATCCTGCTGAAGTCCCTAAATCCCTAAGACTCCAGCACCTTTTTTAGTGTTAGGCTCTGGATAGGACAAATGACATCCCGAGACCGTGGGCTGCCATTTGTTGTGATTATAGAGTAGTATCATTGTGCCCCTGTTGAATATAACCTTAGTCCTGTAGTTCTTAGGATTCCCAGTAGAACATAAGAGAGACCTGAAATAGATCCATCAGGCCTTGAAAGATTAGATTTGGCCTGATATGAAATAAGGGGTGCAAAAGCTCTGATACTTGCTGCATTTGTTTCCAAATCCGCCCCAGTCACCCTATGCATCCAGGAGTGAAATGCATTCATTGTCCTCACCTGGATCTTGATAAGCAGTTTTCTATATAGGGTCAGCAGTTTCCATTATTTGGTAGATGTATGTGACCATGCTCCCTCAGTTGGAAATGAGAATTAATTCGCATCGAAAGTACTTTCCCTCCCAAAGGGCATCCTTTGGGCTGGAATGCATTATGACCTAGCCACAATGCTCTCCACTTTCAGTGAGATGGTGTTGAGGGAATCTTAGGAAGGTGGCAACGGTGGATACTATCAATATACAGGTTCAAACGTGTGAAGAGACTGGAAAAACTCATCCAAGAGCTCTCTATAATGGTAGAGAAATAGACACACATGCTTACACCTGTTGAAATTGTTAAATGTGAAACCATGACTCTTCATAATTGTGTTTTTTAAAAGATAAACTTTCCCCTTTATAGGTCCAAGAAGAACTGCTTAGAGAAGGATTTGAAAAGAAATCTGAGGAATTAAATAAAGAGATAAATCAACTAAAAGAAGAGATTGAAACAATTAACAAGAAACGCTCAGGATTTTCACAGTTCCTTGATGAAGCTGGCAATGTGTTATTAGTAGCACTACCTGGTGCTGGCAAACTATTTGGGGCAGGGATGAAACTTCTCAGCTCACATATTAAATAGTTTGGAATTCCTGTTAGGGAAATTATAAAATGGGGCTTCTTTTGTTTTAATAGCGTAATACAGTGGCTTATTAAAAAAAAAAAAGTCATACTAGTTTCATTCAAGAAAAGTTTAAAAGTAAAGATTACCAAAGTTTGTGTTCCTCAAACTAAGTTTTGATTTGATTAATTAAGAAATGGGAAAGAAGAGGAAGATAAAGAAATTATTCACAGACAAGATATAGGCAAAGTAAAACCACAAATGGAAAGATGAGGAAAATATATGTAGTTTATATCACATACATGGAAATAATTTCTTTAGGCTATTACGAACTCTTAAAAATCAGTGATAAAAAGAACAACAGAAAAACCAAAAAAGCAAACCCATTGCCATCGAGTAGATTTCAGTTCATAGCGACCCTATGGGACAGAGTAGAACTGCTCGTAGAGTTTCCAAGAAGGGGCTGGTAGGTTTGAACTGTCAACCTTTTTGGTTAGCAGCCTTAGCTCTTAACCACTGTGCCACCGGGGGTCCAAATTGAACAACAACCCCATTTTAAAAACAGGCAAACATATTAAAAGAAAATTAAAATGTTTAATTTTGCTCGTAATAAAGATGTGCAAAGTAAACCTATGAGGTACCTGTTTCACCTCTAGGAATGGCAAGAAAGAACACTTTTAACAGGACATTGAATTGGCAAGTGTTTGGGGCAACACTTTTTTTTTGCTCGTGAGAGTGTAAGTCAGTGCAATGATATATGAAAATGTTAAATGCACATGCCTTTGATACAGCAAGTCTACATTTAGGAATTTATGTTATCAATGTATTTACCCAGTAGAAAATGACATATATTCTAGGATATCTGTTGCAGCATTCTTGGAGTGCCAAAAGATTGAATCAACTTTAAAGTCCCTTTGTAGGATAGTAGTGATATAAATCATGGGACATACTTATGAAGGAAGACTCTACAGACACTAAAGTGAAAAGGGGAAGCTGTTTGTATGACTATGAGAAAATATCTAATATTTATCATAACATGAAAAATATAAAGCTGCAGAAAGTGCATATAGTTGTTTCCACTGAATTTAGAAAATAATGGAAATGTGCGTATGTATTAGCTATCTGAGGAAAAAAACAGAAGAAACTAGTAGCTGTGGGTACCACTGGGGTGGACCTGGGTAGTTGATCAGAGGAGTGGGAGGATAATGAATTTTACATTGTGTATTTTATGTATTTTACGTTTTATACAGTATTAATTTATTACTCCAAAAATGAATACTTGCCAAAATTAAAACTGAATAATACATGGGATGGGAACATTTCTGTGACAGAATCAAGGTCTTTAATGCCACTAGAAGTAGTGTAAGTCAGCTCAACTAGAAGACTCTGCTCAATACAACAAGGATCTGGAAAGTACAACACATGCATCCTAACTTTGTCTTCCTTACGGCCTTTCAATAAGGCCTTGAAACCCTACTGCCTAATTAATTTTCAGATACGAAGTCTGGGATTTTGCTGGAATGGCCTCTAAATTCAATCCCCCAAATTACAACATTGGTGAATTAAAAGCAGAATTTGTCTTCAGGGTCTACTTAACTTTTTAGGAACTTCTGTGGAACGCTTTAGACTCTGCTGTGGCTAAAACGAACTCCACGTAACTCCACAAGCTGGACGTGTTACCTTTTGACTCTGGGCCTTTTCACACAGTATACAGACATCTTAAAACAACCTTGTTTCCTTACCCTATATGCTTTGTTTGCTAATTTCCATCCTTCCTTATGAAGATCCAAACCCGTTGCCTTCAAGTCAATTCATAGCAACCCTATAGGACAGAATAGAACTGCCCCATAGGCTTTCCAAGCAGTGGCTGGTGGATCTGAACTGCCAACTTTTTGGTTAGCAGCTGAGTTCTTAACCACTACACCATCAGCATCCCTCTCTTTTCCTCCATAAGTGGTCCTATTTCCTGACTTCCCAAGACTGGGTGTGGTGTCCTTCTGTGTTGCTATTGTGCTATGGTGTCACTTCTACCATAGCAAATTTTATGTAATTACAAAAATTGATATTATCTATTTAGAACTGTCTTTACTTCCACCATTTGATCCCTTGGTCGTCTTCTTCCTCATATATTTAGCTCCTAGCACAGAGCCTATTATATAAAAATCAGATGTTCGAAAAAATTTTGGTTGAATAAACACATGAGATGCCATCCAATAGCACCCCAATTTACAGTGTGCTCATTACATTAGCTACTCTCTAGGTTTTGAAATATAAAGGATACAGTTTTAGGAATTGGGCAGAAGGGACTCTGAAGCAGAAAGGACAGGCATACTCCTCTGAAACTGCCTTCTGAGGCACTGGGCACACCATGTGCTCTGTGCTCCTCAACTTTCTCATCCACAAAAATCACCCAGGAATGAAGTAGACCGCCTTTGCTCACAGGACAATTATGAAGGTTAAAATAGTAAAGAATTTGAAAAAATCATGCACCTCTCATTTTCAACACAGTTCTCTCAGCTCAGGGTGCCTCTGCTGAAATAAACCTATGCTTTGCTGTGAGGATCAATTTCTACTGAAAAAGATACCCTCATACTTGCAGAGTTGTGAAATCTGCACATTGTCCAAAGAGTCGTCAGACAGCATCGTGGTGGTCAGTCTTCATTTCTTCCATCTCTCTCAATCTTGAAGGCACAACTCTGCAGTTTTGAGGGTTGTGAGACAATGCTTAGTTGCCTTCCAGTCCCCCTCCCCCCGTAAAAAAAAAAAGTTGGGATGAGAAGTCCTGAAGCTGAACAAGGATCCCCCAGAAGAATGTTCCTCATACTGCACATCAGGATGGTATGGTGAAGGGGATGATGGACAGGAATAAGCTCTACTTCCTGCTCAAATCTCCCTGCATACATGACCAGCAACAGGAATATGAAACAATCAAGAATGGAATGTTGATGTGAAATTAGAACTGTTTAGAGATCAAGAAAGGAGGCCTGGTTGTGCAAGCGTTGAGCACTTGGCTGCTAACTGAAAGACTGGTGGTTCAGATCCACCCAGTGGCTCCGCAGGAGAAAGATCTGACCTTCTGCTTCCTTAAAGATTACAGTCAAGAAAACTCTAGAGTATAGTTCTAGTTTGTCACATGGGATTGCTATGAGTCAGAATCGACTCGATGGCACCCAACAACAACAGACATCAAGAAAGGACCAGGAATGAAGTACAGGACAGTAAAAGCGGCTTCCTTACCCATTTTGAAGTTCAATCACAGGTTGTATTCTGTTATAATATAGTTTATGTCCACCACAAGATAATCCTCCAAGTAAAAAGCCTTGCACATAATTGAAAATAATTATTGAATTGTTTAAAGAAGATCCATTTCAAGCACTTTTTCCACAGATTTGAAGGAAGGCAGCTTAACATTCATTCTTTCACATGGTATTTTGGTGCAGCTAAAAGTCATCAGCTTTAGCCCTTTCTACATTCCTTTCTCCATTTCTCAGATTTAGTTTATAGCCTGCTTCACTGGTGCTACCTTCTCACTTGTTAGGGTGAGCTCAACTAGCCCTGGAAGAATTTATTTCCTAAGGAAATGCTTCAATTTTGGGAGGTGGGGTGAGGCAGAAAATTTGTTAAAAATTCAAAGAATGTAGACAGAGGTCTGTTTCAGAAAATCAAAAAGAGCTTAAGGAAGCAGAAGGGCTGACCAGGGGGTGTCAGGTGGTCTCCTCAGTGTCTGGTTGGGCAGGAGCAGTGTAGAAATATAACCAGCACAGGAATGGCTGATCCAGATTGCAATACAAGCCATCTCTGAGATCCTGACAGGACTCTAAAATTCTCAGGACCCAACTGCTTCTTCTAATTATAGGGTGTTGATTGGAAAAGTTGAGTGCACTGATTCTGCAAAATACTAATAGTTTCAGAAAGTCTTGTTTGTTAGTTCACATTGATCACCCTCTGCCCACACTTCCAGAATCCCTCCCCATATCCCCAAAGCTATAGGTCCATGGGCAAGGACCAGGGTCTCACGATCTATCCACATGAGTTAACCCTGTCAAAATCAACACTTGGAGACAATCCTGAATGTGACATGAGCTCCACTTTTCTACTTGGCATTTGGCTTTAGCCTTGGTCCTGTGGAATTTCTGTTCAGGGATCTTGTCTAATACCCTGGTAGAACTATGGGCTTGATTTCTCCAAGTCAACTGCTCCCTCAAAGACAGGGAAGCTGATCTAGAACCCCACTGAGGTTAAGGCCTGATTGCATTCACTGGGCTCCCTGAAGCTCCTGACCTTCTTTGGATTCTGTTTCACACTGTTCCCGACACCCACAGGAGCTCTCTACATTCTTATCCTTTGTCTTTTTCCTAAAGGTCAGCAATTCAAACCCACCGTCAGCTCTGCAGAAGAAAGATGTGGCAGTCTTCTTCCATAAAGACTTACAGCCTTGGAAACCTATGGGGCAGTTTTGTTCTGTCCTGTAGGGTCACTATGAGTTGGAATCGACTCAACAGCAGTTTTTTGTTTTTGTTTTTGATTTTTATGGGGGATGGCGGTTGGTTTATGAAGCCAAATGTCATTTGGCAGATGTCAAGTTCATTTGGTAACATTGGTAGTCCCTGGCCGTTTGAAACCAGGTTTTAGTTACAATGAAAAAAAGTCTCATATGAAATTCTGCCATTTACAAGTACATTGAATATAACAAGCAGGTAAGCATATATAAATAACATGTCTGAAGCCTGGGAAGGTCCCTGTCTATGAAGCAAAGGCTCACTCCAAGCTGAATGCAATAAGATTGTGTGGCAGGACCTCTGGATTTGAAGTCAGATCAGGTGGCAGGATTCTGTCTGGAGCGGGGAGAAGTAGGACAGCAGGTTCTAATCCTGGACCACTGCACAGGTGGATAAATCAATGGGCTTGTCATATTGTGTGTCATGTTCATACATGGGCATAGGGTCTTGTTCACTTCTTCTAACAATTACATACGTTCAACACCACTTACTTCATTATTTCTATTGACCCTTATGCCAATTAACAAACTGTTGTTAATTAGAGCCCTGGCGGCACAGCAGTTAAGAACTCAGCTGCTAACCAAAAGGTCAGCAGTTGAAATCCCC